ACAGAGTGGAGTGAGCGGGCGCGGTGAGCACCACCACTGACATCTCCTACAACTATTCTGAACCAGAACTGAACATGAGTCTTATTAAATTTTCAAATATTATAGCTGTTTTATTCATTTCATCTTTATTTATTTTCTTAACATGTAATCTGGTAATTCTTAGTATTTCCTTTAGGTGCTATTTTTAAATTGAGGAGAATAGTGCAAATGTAAAAATAGTGTAACAAATATTTTCCTAGTTCATTATAAAAGCCAATATTCTTAAGAGAAAAACAGACAAATAAGAAACAAACAAATGGAACTATTCATAAGTTTATTTACACTAAAATTACTAAGTAGGAAAGTTTATACATTAAACAAATTTAGTTGCAATGGCCAGTAACTTGGTGTAGTCGGCCCCCTTGGCGTGTGTGCGCTCCTTCAGTATGGTACGCAGGATGGTGGGGATGGGGACATGGATGCGAGTCCCCAGCGGAGTGCCATTGTCGTCTATTAACACCACATTGTTGCTGTCAAATTTAGGCACTTTAACTTTTTGTGTTTGCTTTAGACCCACAAGTATACCTTTTTTCTTTTGTCCCTTGATAGCCACCATTACTCTGTCTCCAATGTATCCTATTCCTGAAAGAGTAAATTGATTTATATTATAATAAATTATTTAATTTTATAAACGCAGAGATGGATCAATAGCAATATGTGAAGGAAATGCAGCAATGTTTTTGTTGTGTTTCTGATTTCTAAAAGGGTTAAAATCTCTTAGAAAAAGTCAAGACTGCTTTAAGATTAAATCATTCAATCTATTGAATTAGAATTTATTAAATTATTTAGTCATGCAATCTAACTCTTCATCATAATATTAATATGATTTATGTAACATACGTTTTTTGTTATATACACATATAACTTTCGGAGGTTTTCCCTCGGCCATGGCTCTTTTGCCGATTTCTGAATTATCAACGACGCGCAGCCTCGTTAGCAGTTGCACTTCATTTAAACGAGCTGAAGTGTGAAATCCACAACCGAAGTTATTGAAGCACAATTTATTAACAAAGTTTCGAAGCATTTTGTGTTTGTTTTTCCATAAAAATTGAGGTTATTTTAATTTCACCTGACACTGACGTTAGCTATCAGTTTGACAATGATGGTATATGACAAAGGAACAAAAAATACAGCTTAAAACAGCTATGTTATTTTAAACAACAAAACACATGATATTTTTTAATTTCAACATGTATTAAAAATAATTTTTTTTTAAGGGAACTCCCTAAAAAGTTATCGGGATACATCGCTATGCCGGGTGGTTTCGCCAACAAATAACCAATAGGAATTTACGAATAAATGCGTTAGGCAGTTTTACAATGTCACCAATAGATGGAGCTTCAAAATGTTAGACTTCGTTGAGGTTCAAAATGCTGAAATTGGTAATTTTATTTGTATTTAATTATTTATTTATGACTATCTTTCGCCCTTGACTCCGTACGCGTGAAATTAAAAAAACGAAAGAGACCTATGTGTTCTCCCAGACTCTCCTCTGCATCTTTACCAAATTTCATCGAAATCAGTTCAGCAATTTAGGCTACAAACTCTAACAAACATCCATCTAAACTTTCACACATATATAAGTGACCAAACGAAAAGCAGATAAGTGCTTTTTACTAGATGCTATTTGGTTATTACACAGTTAATATGTCAGATATAAACTGCAATCATACTAGCCATACCGATATTATAAATGTGAACGTTTAGATGTATGGACGTTTGTTAAGAATTTGTAGCCTAAACGGCTACACGGATTTCGATGAAAAAGTCGGTATAGATGTAGAGGATAGCCTGGAAGAACATATAGGCTACTCACTTTTGTTTTTTTAATTTCACGCGAACGGAGCTTCGGGCGAAAGTAGTTGACTTATAAATAAGAAGGGGAATTTTAGTGAATGATCGATTACAAAAACACACACCACAACTTTTTTGTCTTTTACCATGACTAATTTACTGACTTGTTACCGGTAAATGTTACCATTTGCCGAAGTTTGGACTTTTACAAGAAGAATCGTCAATCAGTTGATTTAGTGGAGAGAGAGAGGACATTACGATACGCTGAACCTTAGACATATAACATGCTTATGTGAACTGAATATTAGACCTTCAATACGCTACAGATTGAACATTAGGCCTACAATGCCCCGATTGGCTAAATAGGCCTTCAACACTCATAAAGTTGATTATAGTGTGTTTGTAGATACATTTCTTTGTAGTGTTTTTATGGCACTCTGGTGTCCCGTCCTAGCCTCCTACCCCTTCGGGCACGGATTCGGCAGGTTGGGGGTAGGGTGAGGCCGCGGTGTCGCGTTGCCACTCGTTAGCGCCAATCCGCCAGCAATCTGACAACTTTGCGAGTTTTTTTATTTGAATAAATCAAAGGATATCGATAGCGCGGCCGATCGCGCGCTGATTAAAGACGGTAACCCAATAAGGCGCGCGTCGGAAACGAAACGAAAGACTGAGCTCGGTTTACGTCATTAGAGGCCGGCGGCGAGTCGCGGGGCGCGGGCT